AAGAGTATCGCCGAGTTGGAAATGATCCAGATGCAAATGAGTACCGGTTTATAGTTCCATGATCATTAAATCAGCAGATTGTTTGTCAATACTTGAAGGGAAGTTGAGCTGCAACTGGTTCATGTTGGATTCATCGATACGTGGCGGAGTTATTTTTAACTAAGATTGATTGTGTCTAACATAAAGCAATCTATATTTAATTGAAAAAAATGTGCCAAGAAGGAATTGATTAAAGATATGTTGGCATACATGAAGAGAATCGATGTGATACAGGCTCGTGGTCGCAACCACGTGATATCCCCAACGTCAACCTCCACCTCCACCCATTTCTCCGATCAATGATCGTTGAAATCCTCGTCCCTTCCTGTATACATGATATCTTGCGCAATGAAAGCCTTGACATGTCTGTAGACAACGTAAAAGTATGTAATGACCAGCACAATACTCATACCTGTCCCCATCCACTTGACATGCTCACTGCCCAATGCATTACCGATAGTGATAGTAGCGAGGATCCAGCCGGTATTGGGAAAGACCATAGCGTAGAAACCAAGATGGAAGTAAACAGGAGGTGACTGGATGACTGCCACGGTTGCAATTCCCCACCACCAAGCCGCAAGAGCCCAGAGGAAGATTGCTGCTATGAGAGCCATGGTGCGGATCATACCTGGATCGATCTTGATACCGTTCATACCAGGCTCGATCCTGTCAGGCAGACCATTGGCCATGCCAATCAGGGCCAGAGCCGTGAATGATGGGGGTCCAACACACATGTATAAGCCTGGTCTATGTTCTCGGTTGGGTAGGCCTGCGGACATGAGTCGACCGATCATATGTGCGTACATGAGAACGGCGACGGACAATCCGAGGCCTTGGCACGTGAGGCCCCCCACAATAATAGGAATGGCTGCGATTTCCGGTTGTGTGTCGGCGATAACTGAGGCGATGGTTCCAGACAACATAATGGGAAAAATACTATTTGGGTCAGCAACAACATCACAGGATCTTCAAATAGACAATAAAAGACGTACGGAAGGATCCACGTAGGCATCATAGTCTGTAGACCAAAGTTATGAGCAGCAAAGACATAGCTGTACTGTCCAACGGCGAGCACAAGTGTCAAGATAACATATCCCCAGTACGCCACCTGGATGGCCCACGCCAACGTCACATCGTTATCAGGTATGGCGTATCGTTGCGTACTGGTTATAAGAGTTGCAAGAGTTAAAAAGAATGTTGGAAAGAAGAATCCCTCTCGTTCGTGGGTGATGGACTTTGACATGTCGCCAGGGTTGAAGAAGAAGCGAAGCAGCATTGTCGAGCAGATTGCGACAACCAAGAGGATATTGATGATATAAACAGCCAGGCCAATCTGTCTCAGCCCTGGGAATTGGTGCGGCTGAGCAAAAATAAGCAACGACAACCCGCCAGTGCTCATCGGGAAAGTAAACCACGCGAATGTGAAGTGGTGTAGTCTGTCCTTCAGCGCCATCTTGGGTCGGTTCGGGTCGAACATATCGTGATGATGTTTCTTGAGGTCGTCGACTTCGTCTTCGTCGCTGTCGCGGAAAGGGTCGTGTCCCTTCTCAACGGCCGGGGTGATGGACCTGTTGTAACTGTGTCGGCCATGGTCAACACTGGCATGTCGAGTGTCCACCTTGACGCTCAGACGGCCAGGGAGAGCAGAGTTTCGTGCTAATGGTTGCCACTCCTCGGAGTTCTTTCGAGTTGACACGACTGAGTCGGTCCAAGCCGAGTTTTCTTCAGTTCTACCCATGGCTAGAACGTCCAAAACGAAATTAGGGAAATAGAAAAGAAGAACGGACAAAGGAGAAAGAGACAAGGAAAAGAAAAAAAAAAAGGGGGGGGGGGGGGAAGAAAAGAATTGACAAAAAGTCGACTTTGACAATAGGATTCCAGCTCCAGACTTTTTGCACCGAGCATAAACCAGACAGGACGACACGCATTTATATCTAGTGAGGACAAGCTACTTGGAATATAATTAGGACAGTCCTTTCGGCAGTTGTTTTAGTTTGGTGGACCTTTTCGTTCATTGCTCCGGTTGACGCCCTGCAAAAACGAAACGCCAGAGTGGCACCCTTTTGGGGACCTTTTGCGTGCTGGTTTTCCATTGCTTGGTGTTGAGGCTCTGTCTAAAGCGTGGCAAGAAACAAGGAGGCTACCATATTTAGCCAATGCCCCTGCAAGTAGAAAAGATAAACGTCTTGGCGACACCAACCGTCGCAGATGACTAGAGGCGGGTCTCCATGTAACTCTGCCAGATAAGATCCAGATTTTGAAACAACACAACCCAGAATGATTAGGCGCGATGGTTTCGCACCATGGCGGTTATCTTTGCCACTGTTTGTAGTTGGGCGTCAAAACTCGACGGCAAAACAATACATCTACCCGGAAAGATGTTCCCTGTTCCATGTGACTGAGATTAGATCATCGCATCCGGCTAGGGCCGGAGAACAACACAGAAATAGGACCAAGGCCTTGACACTTTCGTCACTTTTGGACATGACGGGAGAAGACGGACTGAATGCTATGTAATTTGCCTCACAAAATGAGCTATGACACTAACATAAACTGTCTTGTACAAAGGTAAAGACCCAGATATCTAGACATTTGACCATGATACCTCACTACATACCTCTGACTCTACACAGCCTCATAAAAAACACAAAGAATATTGGTCCCGAAAGATTATCGTCAGTGGGGACGCGGGTGAGATCCATGTTATGTCAAGGCGTCAAACAATCAGGGGCTCCGCGTGCCAGATACCTCCAACATTTAAAGATACAAGCTTCAGAAGAAGCTTCACAGATTACAGTCTGTCCAACCAATCAGCACTCACCATCTCGTCACTCTGGAGCCGCTTTGGGCCCTCTTATCTCAACCGCCCAGGACGAAAGTACCGCAAGTAGTTAGTTTGTGGCCATAGCTCCAATCGTGAAACAACATCTAAACCCCAGCCGCGGAAGAATTTAGCATTATGTGTTAAGACTATAAATCTCTTATCTATTGTTTGGTATGGATCTATAGATATATTGACCCGTTACACCTATATATAGATGCCGGAATCTTGCATTCGGGAGAAAGAATCGTGTCCACTTTACCCCAATGTTGAAGCAAAGAGGTGGTTCTTGCAGACTTGCATCAAATGAGACATCTGTATCTAACGTCTTGGCATGTTGTTCTCCAGTTGCTTAAAGTATGTGGAATCTTGAGAATGATCGTCGTCGTGGAAGTACTCGAAACGTGGCATTGTAATAACTCGGATAGTGTCTAAGCGGTGTCAAGTAGGTCTTGACACAGCATCTAATTGCACGGCGGCACAGCCGGGTTCTCAACTTGTTACCAGTAATAGACTCCAGAAGCGATCTGTGGCATTCGCTCCTACAAGTCTTGGTGTGAGAAAATTTGATCGAAATGTATATTTGACTCTGTTGATGTTGAGTGTTGCGTAAGACTTACTCCTACAGCCTCACCTTGAATGAAACAAACTCTCGTCAGAATTAGAAGGCGAGATACTATGATATTTGTGGAAAACTGCCCATCTGGGTATATGAGTCACTAAAGCTGAAGCAGTTGAGATTGTAGCGCATGAGGAATACAAAACTATGCTTGGCCAGGAATACATTAGTGATAACTCATACCCTATACTTAAGGCATTTACGAAGCTGTAGATCGGTCCAAGCGCTCATACAACATCGACCTTAACAAGTAAAACGACCTTCCTTGTCTGAGTTAGACTGCAGGTGCGAGTCACGTAGACCAGGGAGACACTATTCTAAGCAGAGGCTGCTGGCGAAGTAGTAAGCGGCTGGATTGTGAAGGTTGAAGGCCGGTATGAAACCACAGATAGCCACGACTCCCTCAATGGTGGCGTACCAATCTCTGTCATTCATATTTACCGGGGGGTCTAGTGTTTCACACAAGGACCTTTTGCACCCATCATATTTACCATAACGACCCGTATACATACCCGGGTGGAAGCACGGGCTCTTTTGTGGTTGCATTATAGGCTCGTTGAAAACCGGGAAGGTGGTCTTTACTTCCGTATGGACAGAGTATACTTACTAGAGGTATATGCATCTCTCTGATTTCTGTTGGAGTACAATCTAGTGTCTGATGACGCTATTGGAGGGATGTTAGTATAAGGATCGATGACTGTTTTCTTGAGACCTGCGCCACAACCGAAGATCTGACCATCAGCGATCTCCCCGAAGCCGGTCTACAGCCAATTCTCGTCCATGAGGCAAGTTCTACGTCAGACTGGCGGACAGTTGTCACTGACTGTCTAAAAAAACTGGTCTATTTAGGATCTTGAGCAGTCATGAGTTAAAGAGACTCCCAATGACGTGTAAGGCGGTTTGTTGTTATACAGCCAGCAGTATATTATACTGACTGTCCTCATTAGATCAAAATTTACTTGCTGTGTTATGAGATTACTGCAGCTACCTATCTCACTGGGGAATCACGATGTTATTGATAAACTCCATATTCACCGTAAGAGGTTTCACAATACCTTTCTAGTATTAATCTGTTCAAGACATAATTGCAACCTCGGATAAATACGCATCGACATTAGCATTGGAATGAACGCTATTAGTTGGTGAATTTAGGAACCTAAGTGCATATTGGTAGCTATACTGAGCAGGTTTGCAACCTGCTCTTTCTTATATCGGCGGACAAGAAATTCATAGCCCGAGCTAACAGAGCGACACGTTCATATACAAGAAGGCAAACAATAAAATAGTGCTTCTGTAATTACAAAACGCTCACGCCCAGGCTTTAAAGGCAAATGGAATTATTATTCTTAGTAAGTATTAATTATCGTCAGGTTAAGTGCTTTGCAAGTCACGAACCTGGGGCTTACGACATCATACCACTAGAAAGAACCGCGCTTTTCTGATATTGTAGGATAGTGAGACATAAGAGATATGAACTATAGTTATATAGATAAACAATAAAAAGAAAAGAAAAGAAAAAGATGGACGACCGGGGATTCGAACCCCGCACCTTCCGCAAGCTGAAATTACTCAAGTAACACGGGGCCATGAAGACACCCGTAAAGGACCTGCGACGTAATACCCCTATACCACCCGCCCGATTCTGATGTTAGAGAACAAGAGTGAACTTGTAAACTAAAAGGCCCAAGCGGCATAGATTGGGTAGGTGAATATTGGACTATGGACAAGAAAGATTGCATTTGCGCAAGAGCGACCTGCTCACTTATATGCAGAATTGTGTTCCCCACTTTAGCTGCAGTAATTGGGTAAATCGAAGCCACTCCACTTTTGAGTTTCGGTTCCCTGACCTAACTCAAGATATGCTAGTGAGACGACACAATTCGGGAATATGGCAGATATTAAATGTCTTTAACATGTTTCTTACATATCGTTTGTTAATGACTTTGTTTTTTATCATATATCATTCATCATAGGGACTGATCGTCAATCTCTGTGTGGGTTACAGAAAAGTCTTCTTCTTACGCTTTATATTCGACACTCATTCTCAATTAACCTCGGGACTTGATAAATGTCAGTAGCTAGCTAGCTAGGAGACGAAACTCGGACGTTAGGTTATACTATTTACACTAGATTGTTAGGATATTTAGTCTATGCTCTAAAGCTTAGACACTATCGCTTTATGATCTGATTACAGTGGCGTGCAACCCAACCTTGGTTAAACTGGGTCGTTGACAAACAAAGTTCGTCTTGCATTGGGATCGCTACCTGGAAACTTCTTGTCTATCGTAGTAAGGCTGCAGGCGAGTTTCCCGATGATATCGAGCTCTATAACTGCCCGTTGGACCGAAAACATGTCTTGTTGTACTTGCATTGGCTGCGCTCAAATGCGAGTGAGACTTTGATCATCCGTGTAGCCTTGGCCAATCGTCTTGAGACCATCCTCATCATCCTCATCAATGCGACCCCTCGCGACAACATCTGCCAGCAAAACTCAATTATCATCGCTATCATAAAAATAATCACCGTCGACGGAGTTTAATATAAAAATACCATCGTTGTTACCCAATATAACATCTTAATCAACAGTAGTAACAAATATACCCATATAGTTGAAGATATTCCGAGATCCTGAGTCAGCGGGACGGCGTCTCTGGTAAGACGATTGCTTTGACGCGGCGGGAGAGGCCTATTCTAAACACACTAAACCACATTGAAAATGTTCATGTGAGTATTCTGCAAAGCCAGTCCAATGTTTCGGATTGCTTAATCGAATGTGAACATGTTGTCCGGTGACTACATCTGGAGTTGGCCGGAACTATCTACCTACACCCAGGTCTTACAATTTATCCTATCTAAAGGTTTGCTGAATACAACACGATGAAGCCTTTAAATACGCAAACAGGATAAACCATATTGTCGGAGGGGTCATCTGTACCTCAAAGACTGGCTCTAGACCATGCACCTACCAAGTGAAGCAAAGACAAACATGTTAAGTATAGGTTTCAATATTGACATTATTCGTATATTAAAAGTGAATAATCTGCTAATTCGCAAGTATGAATACAATAGAGTCCCAGGCTTATATGAATGCATGAAACTCGGGAGAAAGAAAATCCGTCAAACCCTCTCTGTTAGTGATGCCGTACTCTCTGTATCCCCGATATCATACTTTGTCTTTGCACTTTTCACTTGTTCCAGCTGAAAACTACTCTCATTGGCACCATTCGTTCCATCAACAAAGCTGGACCCATTAGGATCGCTTTCATCCAGACGGCGGCTACCAGTCCGTAATCTAGCAATGACCTGCTTGCACGCGGCTCGTGAAGTGTAGTAGTAGATCAAAGCGTTCCAGAAGCCTTGCAGAGGGAGCACAAAAGCGCTCACATATCCCAACTGCACAGATGCTTTACCATCGATTAGAATGTACAGCCGGTTCGCACTTGCTGGAATCCATGTGATGAGCATTGCTGTGAAGAACAGAAGGGCTGTCTTGGCGTAGGACATTGCTGCCTCGTCGCTTGGGCTGCGTTTACTGCGATCCGGGTTTTTGGTTCTTGTGTTGGGTTGCTCGAACGATGGTGCGATGGGTGGTGCAGGACCAGCGTAGATATCTGCTGAATGGACTGGATCGGGTCTGGTAGCAGGTCGAAGAGACTGCCCAGAAGCAGGGGGCGGAGACTCTAATGTTGTAATAGTGATATCTGTGGTTTTGGCAATACCCGAAAGATCTGAGCTCGGTGGGACTTGGGACAAATTGGTTCGATCGTTCGAGTATGAGAAGTCATGCAGCCGGCTTCTCCATTTATAAATGGTAACGCCAACGCGGACGTATAAAGCAAAGGCAATGAATATAATCAACCTGGAATATAGTTAGAATTGTTGACTACAAACGAGCTGTAGAGGATGAATTACCAGATCAGTCCGTAGGTAGCAAGCTGCCAAGCATCCCACTGTACAGTGAGCCAGCACCACAAATTCGCATTTCCGTATGCGCGAACACCGTCTCCATTCTTTACAAAAAGAAAGGTGATGGCTATGATGAAAGGGATGCCATAACATAGACTAATGTGAAGCGGCTCTAGTTTACGGAGCTTGACGCCATCAAATCGGTGGTAGAATGTGAGATAAACATTCGTGGCCATAGCTAGGGCCCAAAAGACATCTGCAAACATAAATCTATTAAATCGGTAAGCCACTGACCGGTGGATTAGACCCTAAGTAAGGACTTACGTCTCAATCAGAAATGCTTGTGTTTGACATCCAGCAGAGTTGGGATGATCCACAAAACTATTAGATATAAGTGTAGCGACATTGCACATCATGTTTCCGAAGGATGCGTAAAAAAGCATTCTGCTGATGGGCTTGTGAAACAGCTTGGAAGAACAGTAGGTGGCGATAATGAAGAGTGAGCCAAGAAGGCTTGGGATCGAGCATGCGCGCTCTATGGCGCTGATGGCCGATGCTGCTGATGAGTGAACCATGGCGACTCAAGCTGGGGGGTCATCAGTGGATAGAAAAACGCATCCATGGTCAAAGATTTCTACACAAGAGAGCCTTATATAAAATAGACATGCAAGTGGAAAGGGGCACTGGGGAAGAGTGGACCAAAGCGCAAGGCGTGCTAGATTGACAGAACTAATATGCCTCAAAATTGATCTACGGATCTAACTGACAACGCTAACCTCAAAACTGCAGTTCATATAGGATATGGCATCTGAGAGCCATTACAACACGAGCTGTACAAATGCTATAGTCAGTAAAGGGGTTGGAAGAATTAAACATGGCAATTTAAATTTCAGGATCAAAAGATGTACAGCAAATGATACATGTATTACAGATTTATTTTCACCAGATTGAGTTCAGCTAAGGACATGTCATAATGCAAAATCCGGGTTTAACATGGAAAGGATGTCAACTGAGTCAAACCCCAGGCTCATAAATGTCCACTTAAGTCAGTGCAGCTCCACCAGATGGAGAAGCAGGATTCCTAGCGGGCGATCCTTCAACAACCTTTCCTTATTTCCGCTAGTTAAAGGCGTCAGAAGTCTCAGCTGAGTCTTAGTGCTTATTGACATGAGAGTCTTTCATGCATGATAGGCTGCGTAGTTGTTGAATTGTTCGGCTCTGCTTATCCAGGTTCTGAACATCTCGATCGTCCCTGTCGCATAATGTTGGTAGGGGTATGTTGTCGATCTTGGTTTGTTATCTATTGATCTTGAGGTTTGTTTCTGTCTTGAAGGCATCGGAGGCCATGTTGTCGATAGCCTTGTTCATGGCAGAAGGGCCAGCGGCCGCAAGTATTCACTTCTGGTAGTCGAGGTGTGTCGTTTTGTTACTCAGAGCGCAGGTGGTGGATTGGTCAAGGGGAAAGTGTATCGTCACGGGTATGAAACCAAATAAAACATATTTGTTGGCAAGCTAGTGCAGCGTAAAGTTGTATGTGGTGAACAATCAAGAGGGGCTCGGATTATATGCTCCGTGGTCCTCAATGTTAGCCTAACAACCCTTGTCTAAATGACAAAGACTGACCTAATCTTTATGCTTCTGCACATCAATACGGTCCGTGCGCTCATTCACTCATATTTACCAGTCTTTGGGGTGTGAAGCTCTCATGACGGTACCTGGCTGTCAACTGGAAATGTTTGTGTATAGGCCTGACGTCTAAGGCATCAACTCTACGTACATTTCTGGGAACATTCTTGCTAAATATTTCTCTACCTAACACCAGCATGAGTTTTGACACCATAACCATAGTGGATTATCGAAGCCGATACCTTGTTTGACATCACCCTCTGGAGCTTTCAGCGAGGACACCAACATGGGTTTGTGCTATCGCTATGGGGAATTTCCCTACCCGCCATGAGAACCCCGGCACAGCGTTGACCTTTACGGCGCATCTCAATGAGCTGCGCCAGCTGCCTGCATGGAAGTCCGACAAGAGTAAACAACTCCTTGACCGATTCCAGAGAGGCTGGACTGCTATCCAGATAGACAGAGCAGCCGCACTCCATCTTGTCGACTGTGTTGCCTATCACGTCGAGCAACATCTCAAAGATGTGACTTCTATCAGTACAGCCAGTCTTACCGACGGTTCGGTTTACTCCAAAGCGATGAAGGATAATCCAGACAGGTGGGTCAAATAGAAACAAGGAATGAAAGAAGACCAGACGAAAATACTGATAACTTCTTAGACTACATATATACTAAAGCTGGTCTAACGTTCTTATCAGTAACTAAATCAGAACTGGTTTTTATCAAACCCACCTGTTGGACTGGTGCTTCTTCTGATCGGCAAGAATCGAAGGCCTTGAGAAGAATCTGGTCGACCAGACCACTTCCTACAAAGTAACTTGCACGGTGTAGCTTCTGGTATAAAGAGATTGGCTGAAGGAGATAGTTGGATTCAGCATCGCCACTCTCACCTCAAGATTCTAAGTAAGTCCAAACCTGAGACAGCTATTTTCTGATAGCTGATCGTGTTTGTAGATATATATGGAGGGAACCTTACAGATTACCCAACTTGAGAGACGAAATGCCGGTATAGAGGAGTACCTCAATTGAGTGACGATGGCAGAATTATACGTACTTCGTACAGATGCCAGCCAAGGCCAGGATGGGAAGATCATACTTCGTCATCG